GGGGCGCTGGGTTCAATCCTCAGCACCACATAAAAAATAAAGATGTGTGTCCACTGACAAACTAAAAAATAAATATTAAAAAATTCTTTTTAAAAAATTTTTTTTTTTTTTTTTTTTTTTTTTTAAAGAGAGAGTGAGAGAGATAGAGGTAGAGAGAGAGAGAATTTTTTAATATTTATTTTTTTTTTTAGTATTTGGCGGACACAACATCTTTGTATGTGGTGCTGAGGATCGAACCCGGGCCGCACGCATGCCGGGCGAGCGCGCTACCGCTTGAGCCACATCCCAGCCCCTTTAAAAAATTTTAAAAGGCCATTTTTAGGAGATTAAGTAGTACAAATTGATATGAAATACCAACTCTGCCAATTTCTCTAAGTAACACAATCTATCAAATCCCAGCTATACACTTTCTAGAAGAAAATATCATGCAATCAAGACACTATTCTTTTACTTGAGAACAAATGACTAACTTTCTTAAATTTTAACTCAGTGTATAAGGCACAATACGTATTTCTAAAAACATTTTTCTCATGATCAAAAACCCATATGATGGCAATTGGTTTATGGGTCTTCTGTCCTTTCTCAAAATGTACCCCCTTTTTTTCCTTCCCTAGATCAAACACAGAACCTCATGATAGCAAGTACTTTACCACTGAGCCATATCCCAATCATTTTTAGTTTTAAGAAAGGGTCTTGCGGGGCTGCGGCTGGGGCTCAGCAGTATTGCACTTGCTTGGCATGTGTGAGACCACAGGTTCGATTCTTAGCACCACGTATGAATAAATAAAAGAAAAAGAAAGGGTCTTGTTAAGTTACTGAGGCTGGCTTCAAACTTGTGATCCTCTTGCTTTAGCCTCTCAAGAGCTGGCATTATAGGCGTGCACCACTGTGCCTAGCTTCAAAAATATTTAACAATGTGCAGATGCAAAAAGATACCATATACACATGAAGTCTTTCTGAATACTAACAAGGGAAGGCAACAGAAAGCTTTCTGTTTTGGAAAAAAAAAAATGACTTACTAAAATTTAAATTTCTGGCTGGCTTTTTTTTCCGTTTAGAAAGAAACTTTACTTCTACTCCCAGCTTTATTAAGATATAATTGACAAAAACTATATTTACTTGACATATAATGGGATGTTTTGATATGTGCATATATTATGAAATGCTCAAATCAAGCTAATTACATTGCATTGTGTACCAGTTAAAAATAAATTTAATTAAGTGAATTAACATATTTACTACCTCATATACTTACCATTTGGTGCTAGGAATTGAACCCAGGGCCTTGTGCATATGAGGCAAGTATTCTATCAACTGGGCTATATCCCCAGCCCAAGACCCCATTTCTTAATAAAATATTTTTTAAAAAGGGCTGGAAGCCGGGCACTGTGGTGCATGCCTGTAATCCTAGTGTCTAAGAAGGCTGAGGAAGAGGGATCTCGAGTTCAAAGCCAGCCTCAGCAAAAGTGAGATGACAAGCAACTCAGTGAGACCTTGTCTCTAAATAAAATATAAAATAGGGCTGGGGATGTGACTTGGTGGTTGAGTGCCCTTGAGTTCAATCCCCAGTACCCCAACCCTCAAAAAAGAAGAGGACTAGGGCTGTTGCTCAGTGGTTAAGCACCCTTGTGTTCAATCTCTGGTATCAATAATAAAAAAGAAAGAAAAATAACTTGGGGAAGTGCAGGAACACATGCTTGAAATCCCAGCTACTCAGAAGGCTAAGATGGCTAAATTCAAGGCCAGTCTGGGGAACTTAGTAAGAAAGATCCTGTCGCAAAATAAAATAGAAAGGGCTGGGGATGTTGCTCATTGGAGAGTGCTAGCCTATTATGCCAATCCCTATGCCACAAAACACAAACACAAAACATGTCATGCTGACCTTAGGAAATTAGATGGATATTAAATGTAGAAATTGCAGCACTCTACCCAGGGGTTGTAACTGTTGGTAAGTAGCTTAAAAAGAAGGCACTTAACTCCTTTAATTTTGCATATAATCAGTCACTGAATCCTCATGGCAATAAAGAAAAAGCATCATTGGTACAGATTACTGAAAATGATGCAATTCCCTAACAGAGCAAAAGAATATCCTGAATGGGACAAAGAATGGATGACTAGTGAAAATAGGTAAGAAGGAAGGAGTTTTCACAGAAAATGATATTGGATAATGGGATGTGAGCAGAATACAATACTTGTAATTCACAAAATAGAGTATTTGCATGAACAGAATTTTTAAAAATCCTGTAAAAATCGCAGTTTAACAAAAAGAGGGAAGGCAGAAGGCAGGCAGGAAGGCCAGTCAATTATTCCATTTGTGGAAGAACCAACTTTAGTATAAACGTAAAGCTGATTACTCAGAACACATAAAGCAAAATTTCTCAAACTTTAGCATGCATCACAATCATCTGGAGGACTTGTTAAAACCTGGATTGCTGACCCCCTTCAGTATTTGGGAATTTATACTCAGTAATTTCCTAGGTAATGCTGATGCTCGTGAAAAAGGGAACATTAATGTTATTTACTAACCTCTGGGCTAGTTTTAAGACAGTAAGGACATATATATCATGCAGATTTTAAACTCTTATGAACTTCCTAAATTGCTATATATAGTACCTACCTACCTGACCTTATCAAAAGTGTTACAAGATCAGGGGAGTGTGGGGTATGGTGAGCAACAAGAATTCAAGTTATTTTTAAGGAGAACCTTAAAATTTACAGAAGGATCTGGAAACCACAAATTCAAGAGTGCAGCATAGAACACAACAGAGATAAAAATTTGAGCACTTGAGAACTAACATTACTAGAGATAAGTAGTCAGTCAAGTAACAAAATAAATATATAAATAAAAATCAGTTAAATTCAAAACAGTTGACCAGGCTCTTTGTTAAGTATTTGTAAGTAATTTCCCCATACATTAGCCCAAACAAAAATATACACTACTTATAAGTCTGGGACCTTTGGGGTTGATTATAAAATAGTTCAAACCTTTGATTACTTAAATGCTTAGGATCTTCCACAGTTCCTAAGGACAAAGAGTGTTAACAAAAGCATAAAAACTAGTGTCCATAGTTGTAATCATAGTGATACTATCTCAAATCCTGAAGAAATAAATATGTTCACTGAAAAAGAATACAATAACCAATAATAGACATTTGGATGCAAATTCCTTTTGAGGTTGTTTTTAAATACCCAGACTTGATCCATATAGTGGAAAACATTAAGGAAACTTTATACATAGAAATTAATCTTTATGAAAAATTCATTAACAAAATATACACAATCTAATTGGTATTAAATGGAAATTTAATACAGATACATAAGACAATGCATATTAATAATGCACTGATATGGGGTTAAATTTTCCTTTTAAATAGTCTTCTTGAATCTTTCTCTATTAGGAAAAAAAAAAACTTAGAAGATTATTTGATTAAAAAAAAAAAAAAAAAAACAAAAACCTCACCTTGGGCCCTTCAACTTCCCAGGTATTCAATTATATATTTCGGTATGTACATTAAAGTCTTTATTTTTTCATGTGCACTGTGAAAGGTGGGGAGAATAGTTTATAAAAAGTCCCAACCTTTCTGAAGCCAGGGTGTTTAACCCAGAACACCTATGTATTCTGGGAAACCACTGAACATCAAATGGTTTAGGGTGGGTGGACATGACCCAGCAGTCTTTAAATTTTAAAGTCTTTTATTAGATGGGTTAGGTTCCTCTGGCTATAGTTGTATCTGCTAAACCTTCACAAGAGATACTATTTCATTATTAAGACAGAGATACTGCAAAGGATATGTAATATATTATGTATCAAAATTCTTTAAAAGCCAAAGTTTTCAAACTCAAGATAAAAGCTTCCTGATAAGAATTACACTGCTGATGCTCAGTAATTATAAAAATAAAACATTGCAACAACATATACACATGTATATCACAGGATATACAGAAGTAAGAGGCTGACAATCGCCATTATAATGAATCTCTTAAACTGGATATACAATTTACCTAGTATGTTTCCTTTGTGTAATAAAGTTTTCGAGGTAAATTCTATAATTTATCTCACTACAAGGGTCTGATATTATGAATAAAATTCTCAAGTGTATTTGCTCATGAACATCCACTAAAAGTACCGTATAAAGTTCTAAGAATTTACTTCATATCACTGGGCATATGTGTTTTGTGTATTTCTAAAAGACTTTCTTAAATGGGGTTAAACTATATTCACAAACAAGTTAAAAAAATACAGGATGGTAAAACATTTTGAATCTTATAGCCATATGATTTCCTCTGACATCATCTGATTCTAAAGCTTTCTTTCACAGATGAAACAGGTCTAAAAGAGGCTGTTTTATTTCACTGATATACAATTATGGGTTTGATTAACTTCCGTTCTCTATTGGTCTCCTTTTGGTCCTGTATCTTGCCTTTCCCTCATTTCCATCCTACCACAATCACTATGATTATTCTACCTTTTCCTCCTCTCCCATCTTTTTCTCCAGATCCCATTTTCCTCTCATGTCCCTGTCCATTAATTACTCACCTTCTTCTATTCTCACTTTAAAGAGGATTCTTACATGCATATCCTAGCAGCTATTAAACTTAATTAATTTTATAAATTAGTGTAAATAAAAAATACTTGTTACATAGAATTAAAGGTTAATTCTTTTACTATTCATTCTAAAAACAATGTAATTGAGCATGAATTAGTACTAGTTTGAAAAACCTTCCAATCATTATAACTTGGGATTTGATTCTACTCATTTTTATACCTGTATTTTAGCTACAATACAACCATGTTGGTAATTAACCAGGAACCCAAAATATAAAAAGATGCCATCTTAGCAAAAATCAAGATTGGTTTTAAAGCATTGAGTCTGCTGGAACAGCTCTTTTCTTTCCTGAATAATCTATTTAGGTATTCATAATCACCCATTTGGAACACAAAATACTTTTTGTCAATGCAGGATTAAATTAAATGATGCAAGGAAAAAAGAGGCTCTCACCCCCAATAGTACTCTCTTGAAATTCATGAAACTGGCCTTTCACGAAACGAAGGACTAGACTTGATTTGCCAACAGCAGACTCTCCCAGAAGTACTAGTTTGAACTGGCATATTTTATTTCCAGTGTTTGGCCCATTTGGTCTTGTTGCTCCTCGATTAGCCATGTCCAAATTTGAAAGAAGTTTCTAATTTCAGACTTCTAAATGCACTTCCAGGATGCAAAGTGTCAATTTTTTTTTTCTTTCTGGAGGTCAAGAAACCTGTGAAGAAACAAATATAAATTAAATATATGAATCAGTGAAACAAAGCAAGCCTCGTACTCATGACTTATAAGTTTTACCCATAGCACATTGTTATATAATTACAACTTCAACTGGACATTCAATGCCATTTACTTTATTTTACTACTTTTTAAATAAATAATTCAAAGGCATAAGATTCAAGTACCTTGATCACTTTGTAATTTGTAAAATCACTTTGTAATTTTCAGGGCTTTATTTTTTCTAAAGTTAACTTTCCTAGAAGAACATATCCACTGAACAATATAAAGTACAATACTTATAAATGAGGAAACTAAGGCACAGAAAAGTTAAGTAACTTGGCTGAGGTCATACAGTAACTATGACAGAAGTGAGACAGAGCTGAGTTTCAAACCCAGGCAACCTGACAGGTAACTCAAGAGTTCAGTTTCTAAAGCTAGACTACATGGGTTAAAATTATAAATGGAAAACTTCTGCAACACAACTTAGAATTCAGTATTGGAAGGTCTCTGTTAAATATCTTAAGTTGATGATAATTTTAGGGCAACAAATATTTTAAAGCTCCCAAGTTTGTGTGCCTAGTTGATAAAACTAGCCTGAATAACAGATTCTATCTAATAATGCTAATTTTCAATCTCAAAGAAATCAGTGAATATTTGAAGTATTCTCTTTCAGTTTACCCACAAATCAATAGTTCACTCCCACCTTTAACGAAAATCTAAATATAGCGGGGCGTATGGCACAAGCCCAGCAACTCTCAAGTTATTTGGGAGGCTAAAATAGGAGGATCCCAAGATCACAGCCAGTCTCAGCACCTTAGCAAGACCCTGTCTCAAAATTTAAAAAAGGACTGGGGATTGTGGCTCAGGGATAAGCAACCCTGGGTTCAATCCCCAGTGTGTGTGTGTGTGTGTGTGTACATAAACATATCTAATTATATTCTTACTAATAAAATACATTAAGTTAATGATTCCCTCCTAAAATCCTTGCTATATTTCATTTAGCCACCTAATAAATTTGCGTTCCCCACAAAATAATTTATATAAGAAACACCCTCAATATGAATTCATCATTAAAATATCCATGAGATCTCGGTTCTTTTTTTTTTTTTTTAAAGAGAGAGTGAAAGAGGGAGAGAGAGAGACAAGAGAATTTTTAATATTTATTTTTTAGTTATTGGCGGACACAACATCTTTGTTTTTTTTGTATGTGGTGCTGAGGATCGAACCCGGGCCGCACGCATGCCAGGCAAGAGCGCTACTGCTTGAGCCACATCCCCAGCCCCGAGATCTCGGTTCTTAAGACAGCAAAATCACCTTTACGCAAATGCTAGCGCTGAAGAATCCTTATCTTTTACCATATATGCTGACATATTTACAGTTGAAATGATATGATGCTTAAGTTGCTCCCAACCAATAGGATATTAATAAAACTACCAATTCACTTCACCCTCAAAAATATAACAGATTTGGGGGTCTAATCTTGGCTATACCAATTTTTACTTCTTTAAATTTCCAAGGCTCTATTTCCATAATACCCAACTTGCAAAGCTGTTATGAGAACTGAAAGAGACAATATATGTAAACAACCTCTAATACACTGCCTACTATATAGCAGCTTATGAAATTGGCAATTAAAAGTAGCCCTCTGATAAAACAATGCCCATACATCAATATTGTCATGCAGAGCAAAAATGTACCCAACTCTCAAGACACACATATTATCAATTTAAACACCTGCAAATTTTATCTACAAAACAGTAAAAAACTTATCAAGGACAACATGCTCCAAATTTCTATGACACTTCCAAAATTCAGGGAAAATAGGAGATTCCCAGAGAAAAATCAAAAAAGATTCTCATTTAGCTTAGCTTTTTAAAATAAAATGCTATCAAATCACGAATACTCCTAAGGATCTCAAGCAGAAAATAAACTATATTTAATTATATAGTTACTGTAACATTAAGGTTAAAAATTACATTCAAGGGCTGGGGTTGTTGACTTCATGGAGTGCCTGCTTAGCACACAGGAGGCCCTGGCTTCAATCCCCAGCACCACACACACAAAATTATGTGCAATCAATCAAATCACTTGTACTCACTACTGAAACTTTTGTTCTTCAAAAGGAGGATTCTGCATAATATGTATTTCAAAATTTTAAAAACCAACGTGTATTCTGTACTTAAAAGTCCTTTTAGGTGTTCTTCAATCCAATACTTTGTGGGCATTTAATTTGTGCAGAGACTGTTCTATGTACTTCTCTTGCAACAATCCTGCCAGTTCAAATTATCTCTATTTTACGTTAAGAATAAAGATTCTGGACGGTCCTGAGTATTCCCAAATACACTTGGGTAGCTTTTTCGTATTAGGTAAAAGGCAAGCTGATTCCATTTCAGCGAGACAAAAACTAAGTATGTGAACTATGACTTTCAGAGTTTAAAAGATCTGGAAGTCTCAGGGAAGTAACCTGCTTCCAGAGAAGGGAATATTAGAGTAAGTTTCATGGTCTCTGCCAGCGAAGGGAGTTCAGAGGCCCAATTATCTTGAATTTCCTTAAAGCCGCGGTTCACCACCTCCCCTAAGATACGGAAAAAGTCTCGGACCAGTTTATTTTGACCAGCCTCCCATCGCTTCCATTACCCGTCTTTGGAAGTCGCAGGTAGGCGGAGCTCCCCAAATCCACACCTGCTGTAGGCCCCGGCTCCCGTCTGGAGACCACCTGAGTAGCTGAGAGCCAAGCCCGGCTGGCTGGCGCGAACGACACGCACCAGCCCCTTCGGTCGCCTTTCTATCCTCCCCTGACCTAGCTTTCACTGCGACCCTTCGGACTGCCAGGGCAGGGGCCCGGAGGAACCGCGGCCTCCAGGACTCTTTCCACGGCGCCATCTTGAGAAGGGAAGAGGGTGACACCCGTCGCTCCCTGAGCTAGTCCCCAAATCTCTGTCTCTGGAGCTCCTTGAGGGATGAGTCACCAGAACTGGCAGGACAAGGCGCCGGGTTCAATAGCTCTCCGGTCCAGAGGGATGATGCACGAGAGGGAGGAGGGGCGGGAGGCTCAGAGCGCGCAGGGCCGCGGACAGGCAGGGGACCGCGGATAACCTGGGGTCTCGGGCCGCTCTGCGCAGGGGGAGGGGCGGCTTGGTTACCTGAGACCGCGCCACGCGAAGCCGCGGGGCCGCAGCTTCCTGGTGGTAAGGCCCAGGCGTGGCCCGAAGGACGAATTAGGCTGTGGCTGCGGCGGCGTCTCCTCCTCGCGCCGCTCCCCTCACACTGGACGGTGAGGAGCTGGAGCCGTGGTGCCGCCCCTGTCGGGCTCCGTCTCCGCCTCTCTCCGCTCCGCCTTCCTCCTTCCTTTCTCCTCCTCCTCCGCCACCGCTGCCGGCGCTCGAGTTCCGACTGATTCTTCCTCCTCCTCCCTCCTCTGCCTCCTCCCCTCAGGCCGGCAGCCGGCTCCTTCACAAACCAAAACACAAACACTCAGGTCCCGGCGCTGGAGCCACTTCCGCCGCCCAGCACCGACCCCGCCGCCACGTCGCTGCACGCAGCGAGCTACGCCGCTTCGTCACTTCCGCCGTCGCTTAGCTGCTTGCAACGCCGCCCTTTCCTATCCCTCTCCGCCAGGGCCTGGGGGCGGGGCAGGGCGGGGCAGGGCGGGGCGACTGTCACGTGAAGCCTCGGAGCCGCCCGGGAGGGATCGGCTGTCTGTCTCCGCCTCCGCCTCCGACACCCCGGCGCGCGTCCCCGCCCTCGCCAGCGCCATTGTTATCTGGGCGGGGATCGTAGGGTTTGGGTTCCGGCGGCAGGACGGAGTATCTCCCACGTTGTTCTGCGTTTGGAGAAGACCCAAAGCCTTTGTGTTTGTTGCGCTCATCCTCTGTGGGGCGGCGAGATGAGCCCTGAATATTCGCTCACAGACCCCCCCCCCCCCGCCACCTCACCCCACCTCATAACATCTCTGTCCTGGCAACTCAGCAAAGGGGCTTTTTTGAGGATCTTATCTAGTAGGAGAGGTACCTCCCCGCAATACGTCCCAGGGGATCAGTGGGTCTGGGAAAGAGCAGTGAATTGTGTTAACTATTCTGGGGAGAATAGGACCCTCCCCATCCCAAAAACTATATTTAGAGATGGTGAAATATGAGAATAATAACGAGCTTTTTTTTTGGGGGGGGGTATTTATTTTGGTAGGGAGTAGGAAGGGGCAAATCCTAAACCAATAGCTCGCTTTTATTAAGTTTCCCTTAAAGAGTTACTGTACCAAAAGCTCTACAAAAATTATCCCATTTGATTCTTAACACTGCGAGTCTTTCATTCGGAAACCAGCTCCTCGCCTATCTCCCTGCATTTGAATGTTAACCTCAAAAGTCGTCCTCACCGCTGTAAACCCATGTTTTTAGCACAGTACCTGGCAGCCGGGAAACCTGGGTCATGGTTGTGGAATTAATGAATGAGGCGTGCCTGCTTTACAGGTAAAAGAATTTGAAGTAGAAGAGATTGAGTAACTTGTCCAACATCCCTGCCTATTTGTGATGAAGCTGGATTCCAACCCGCGGGCTGGCTCCAGAACGTCTTAAACAGGATTCTAGTGAAAGATAGCCCAAGGTGTTCATTACCTTCAACAGCAGACCTACTTAAGACAGGCTTTTTGGGTTAATTTTTGCACCATAGTCAGTCTCTAGTGGGGTGTTTGAAACACAAACAAACAAAAGCAATTTGATAGAAGAATGTTAAATAGATTTTTCCTCAGAATAAAGGCTACTTTTCAGTTTGCAGTTCATAATTTGTAGCCCTCTTGTGAGGACATAAATATTATTGAAGTACACCTTAGCTATGGTATCCTGTGGGTGCTCATTCAACATTGTGCAATCAAGATGATTTGAACCTTTCAACAGTCTCAAAAATCAACTCTCCAATCACCAGAAGAACAGAATGCGTCATATGGAAATGGTATCTGTGGCACTCTATCCCCAAGGGGTTATTCCAATGTGATATACTAGTCATGGTAATAGCTTATGGACAGTCCCAGGAAGAATCAGGAAATAGGTTATGTCACATCAGTTTTGTCATGTCAACAGCATGTCCCAAACCAAACCTATTCTGATTCACACCTGCTTCTGCTTAGTGACTAACATTAACTGCTTCCCAGTCACTCAGACTTGAATTGCAGCATAATTTTCAACTCCTCCTTGTTACACTCATACATCATCATTCATTCTTATCACTAAAAATTCTCTAATCCCCGAATTTGAAGTCTAATCCCAATGTGTGGGCCATGAGAAGGATTCATATGAACTGAAATTAATGCATATTCCTGCTTCTTCAATCCTTTCTTTACACTTAAGCCTGTCACTTTCCTACTCAGAAATGTTCAATGTCATTTCCTTATTTGATAACTCTTCTATTTCTTTAGCTTCACTCTCCCCAAATTGTGGCATTGTCTTCTGACCACCAGTATGTATCCTGTGTCCCCTGAATATTGCTTATGTGTTCCCATCTTGGCATCTTTGGTCACTTTTTTCTCTACCTGAAACACCATTACTGTCCATAATGGCTGGACTTACTTTGGCCAGAATACCAGTTCCTCTAGACTTACTTTGGCCAGAATACCAGTTCCTCTAAACTCTAGACAGCATTTAAGTCTTCTTGTATTGGATTTAATTACCTTATTTCTGTAGTTTCACACTATGGAAGAGTTTTACTCTCTATAATGCTTCCAAAATTGGTCTTATTTTACATTTAGCTTTTTATTTATTTAGGATTATAAATTTTTAAGGATCAGGACCATCAGCTATTCATCATTTCCTCACAGAACTCTGGTTGATTTATTAGGGTCCTCTAAAGTGTTTGTGAACTTAATTACATTTAGAATGATAAATATTGAACTTCAGAAAACCTCACAATGTCAGATACTGAAATTTATGAATTGCTAGAAACTCCCTATCTGAACATGCTAGAATATTGCTTCTGCATTCATTTCTGTCTACTGATTTTGTCTTTTAATTCACTTCTTCATAAATAGATTCCAAACCAGATATAGTGGCACACACCTGTAATTCCAGTGACTCAGGAGGCTAAGGCAAGAGGATCTCAATAGAAGCCAGCCTCAGCAACTCAGCAAGGCCCTAAGCAACTTAGCGAGTCCCTTTTTCAAAATAAAAAATAAAAAGGGCTAGGGAAGTGGCTTAGTGGTTAGGCCCCTGGATTCAATCCCTGGTACCAAAATAAATAAATAAATAAATAAAATACATTCTACATTATTTTACAGTTTAATTATGTTTGGGTGGTGCTGACCCAGTGGCTAGCACCTCTAAAAATCTAGCAATAGTTTTATTTTATTGATTGGTTGGTTATTCCCAAGCCTACTTACCATGTGCTGTATTTACTGGTAATTTTGGAGAAATTAAAATGCCACATAGAAAGAGGCTTGGTTATTATGGCCACTCACAATATGCCTGTGTATTTCTTTTTCCTAACCTGAGAAGATTGAGGAGGACTGATAATTGTATACATTTAATGTCAAATGTGAGCTCTTATAGATGATAGAATTTGTTAAGCAAGCTACAAAATGGATGGACCTAAATCAAGTCATATAAATTTGAACACTGCCTCTTCTCACTCTCAAATCTCCAAACAGTAAATCACAAATTCCCAGTACCTGGCTTTCCTCACACTGCGTAGCACCACATAGCTTCTACCTTCTCTTCAGGAAATCTTTCTTCCCTTGTGTACCCGAAGAACAAATTTTTGTATAAATGGTAATAAATACTTATATTCATATTCCTTTTTTTATTCGTAGTACTAGGGATTGAACTGCATGCTAGGCAGATGATCTACCACTGAGCTACATCCCCAGCTCTTTTATTTTTTAAGACAGGGTCAAGTTGAGTTTGAGGTCAGGTTGGCCTCAAATTTGCAATCCTCCTGCCTCAGCCCCCAGAGTAGCTGGGATTACAGGTGTGCCACTGAGCCTGGCTTTATATTTACTTTTTTTTTTTTCAGGGCTGGAGACTGAACCCAGGGCTTCAGGCATGCTAGGCAGTTCCTTTACCACTGAATTACATTTACTCTTTACATTTACTTTTTTTGCTATTGGGGATTGAACTCAGGGTTCCCACTCCCCACACACGCTTTTTAAAATTTTGACATAGTCTCTTTAGGTTTATGGCTTTTCTAAGTTGCTGAGACTGGCCTCAAACTTTCAGTCCTCCTGCCTCAGCTTCCCTAGTCACTGGGATTACATACATGCACCACTGCACCTGGTCCTTTACATTTACATTAATTGAGACTATTTAAATTTTTTTTCTGGGGACAAATCAAATGGTAATTCTAATATAAGTCATGATGTTAAGACAGGGAGAAAAAGGCCGTGGAAACCTGAACTGGTCATGTTTAAAATGCTTGTGTATGAGGCTTGAGGTGTAGTTCAGTGGTACAGCATGTGCTTACTTAGCGTGTGGCTCTGGGATCAATCACCAATATCAAAAAAATAAGTAAAAAGTCTGAGCCAGGAGCAGTGGGTCATGCCTGTAATCCCAATGGCTCAGAGGCTGAGGCAGGAGGATTTCGAGTTCAAAGCCAGCCTCAGCAAAATAGCGAGGCACCGAGTAACTCTGTGAGAGCCTGTCTCTAAAAAAATACAAAATAGGGTTGGGGATATGGCTTAGTGATCAACTGCTCCTCAGTTTAATCCTCCATACCCCCCCCCCCCCCACACACACACACCAAAGAGTCTGATATGGGCATGGTTTCAAACATTTATAAACTCAACTACTTGGGAGACTGATGCAGGAAAATCCTAGGTTCAAAGTTTGCCTGGACAACTTAGGAAGACCCTGTCTCAAAATTAAAAACGGGATGAGGATCTAAGTAGTACTTGCCAGGTATTCTTGAGGAACTGGGTTTATTTCTCAGTACTGGGGGAAAAAAAGTCCATGTCTTTGGAGGACATTGTTCAGGCCCCAGCTCAAATTCTGAAGTGCTTTCCTCCATGTCAAAGCATCCTGTTTTCTTCATAACCCCTATCATTATCTGAAATAAAATGATTTTATTTATGCATTCACTTGATGGTTATCCATTTCTACTGGAATATAAATTCTATGAGACAGGGATTGGTTAATATTCCACTTTATTTCCAGTACTGACAAAATTGGGACTCAATACTTATTTGTAGAATGAATGAATTAGATAAGCCCTTGTACAAATATACCTTGATTTACACACTATCAAATCATTTAAAGATCTCAGGGGGAGATGAACATTCATATTAATGATCTAGAAAGTTATAGCAGTTAAAAAATATGAAAATAGTATTCCCTATTCACTTTTTTTTTAAATTTTGGATTTTACAAGTTTTTTTATGCAGACTGGAATCCTACAAATTCTCAAATTATATGCTAGGTGTTCTATAGCCCCATATATGTAGAAAATGACAAATATTCACCAAATACACTTGCATTAAAACCTGACAAAAGGGCT